ATATATGTGTATATGTAGACAATTCAATAAATAAATAAATTACGTCAATTCCTAAAAGTTACGTAATACTAAAGGTAGGTGATGTGGACAGATAATCAGAGTTTAAATAATAAGTATCATAGAAGTACGAAGGAGATTGGAAAATAAGAAAGGGTGGGAGGGTTTTGATTAGAATTCACCTAGGTCAAGGGGGAGAGACGAAGGTAGAACAAATTTCTTTTGTGTGCAATGACTAGGATTGCTCTCTCGTATTCCATAGCTTTCGGCTAAGTGTAAAAGACGGGTTCTGGAAAATGGCAAACAGAGGGTGGCGGCAGTATAAGTCCATTTTATCGCTCTTGATAATCTCAGATGTAAGACTTCGCTAGTCACGTCCCCATTAAATTGCAGTTTGATGAACAGTTGTTTCTTTTTAACTGTTGTCAGTTTTTCTTTATTGTACCTGGTATTCATGTGTCTCCTTACAAATCTACTAAGATAACCCATTTGAACCAACGTATTTTGGATGTATTCTAGCTCATTTTCTACAGAGTCATCTGTACAGATACGTTTTTCTCTATTCATGAGGCATCTGACCAAATTGATTTTATATCGGATTGATACAAAAATTGAGGAAATGTGTAGTGGTCTTCATTGTTAATTCGACCTTCAATATGTCCTTTCAACCTGACCTAACTTGTCTATTTTCTCACCTCTAAACTCTTTATGAATTTCATATACATTCATTCCTATGACAAGTTCGTGAGTGTGATTAGATTGTTCGAAATAGGCTGTGTGCAAATACAGCATTACACGATTCAGGTTCAAATTATGTCTTCTTCTTATTGCGTTTTCTATACTCTTAAGAAGTTGAAATAATTAAGAAGACTTGTGGCATCACTTGTTGTTGTAATATTCTTTTCGATTGATAGTGTGATTGAGAAATTTGAATTCTCTCTCTGATCAAAATCGGGAACGCTTAGTACAAGGCGACAGTTATTATATTCCTTCGAAAGCACATCTTCAACCCACAACAACCTTTTAGCTGAATCAATAACGGAACAAAAAGCATTCATTTTTCACCCACACGACCTCGTTTATGTTACACTTAGAACCACACCACACTTATTCACTGTCCCTCGAGGACCTGGTGTGTGATGTTACTCAACGATATACTTAGAGTAAATTGGGTGATGTTTTTTATCCCTTGATCACATGGGTTAAATTACAAATCTTCCATTGCCTCCTTCTAGACAACAACCTGAGTGTTAATTTCAATATGAAGTGACACTTTGGCATTTTCCAAGAGGGATATCAAATGAAATCGTCAAAAGAGACAGTAATTATCATTCATCGTGAATCTCAATAGCTCACTCCACACTGATGTTAGCGCTAAGGATAAAATCTTGGCGGTTATTCTATCCAAAACCTAGATATTTTCATTATTTCACGTTCACTGAAGAGCTGATATCAGTTGCAGAACAATTGGAAAACCAGAAGGAAGTACTGGATAGCTGTTTCTTCCCACTTTGGGACCCTTGATTCAGTATACACCTACAAGGGTTGGAACCCAGGACCTTCCGATTACAAGGTGAGCTTGTACATCATCCAGTTACTGAGACCCGATTTAATTGCCCATGAATTCCAACATCTGTAAATTTGCGAGTAACCATTCTCTTACCTGTAGGTTGTAGAAATTTTTTATTAACAGAAACTCGACCGTTAGCTGCTGCCTTGACGTGGTGGTCGGGCTTGCATATCGCAATGACCCAACAAAATACACTGGCTGGAACTATTGTTCCTAAAGTTCCATGCCAAAAGGATTGTTAGGATAGCGATTAGACTAAAATCAGTTATCAACATAGTGTAAGATTTTTGTAACACTGTGCTGGGGGTCTGTGGAAGAATTCGTACTGCTAGGGAACAGGGATTTAACAGCAGTAAGGTGTTTCCCTCAGATGACCAGCATGCGAGCCAGCTATGCTGTCTCTCCACTCTGAAGACATATGGGGATTAGGAAAGTTGGACCCAAAAATTGTACATCCTGACTTACCCTAAGGTGGTCAGCTGCTGGCAGTAAGTTCCTAATACGGAACCGAACCTTGAAGCTAGTTCAGACAGGGCGTATGTGACCGGCCTCAAGCAGCTGTCCCCCGAGCTCTGCGGTCATGCGACACTAAGTCTCTGTTTCAGTTAGCCCAAGAAAATACCAACTTCCAAGGTGTGGGGGACAACCGGGAAGCAACAACCGCCCACACTCACACACTTCCAAAAGTACACGAAGGCCTGCTGATAATCATCCTCCTTGTTAACAAAAAATCCAAGTTAGAAAATAATAATTCTAAAGTGACTGGTGACCTTCTGATTAAAAAACAGTCAAGCTTGTAGACCATTAAGTCAGTGGGGCCCAACTCAGTGACCAGTCCATGAATTCCAACCTCTGCCAATTCACGATTATAGCGCAACCACTAGCCAATGTCTTCGGCGAGTATTTGTCCTCACACCCAATCTGCTAGAACCTACTGGTGACGACTTCCCACCAGAACCCCACGTAATACCAGCCTGAATAGGGCCAGTCTCCGGTGAACATCTCACTGATATTTGAGTATTGGTTAGTAGGGATTTGATTGATTAGTTACAGGATATCATAATGAGCTGACATTGGTCCTGGGTTCGAACCCCGGCAGGTGCGTACTGATCAAGAGTTCCAAGCCAGGACGAAACAGCTAGCCGTCCAGTACTCTCTGTTGGTTTTCCAATGGTTCTCTAACCGATGTCAGCTCAAAATATTACTTGTTTGATAATGACAAAAGTATATCTGCGTTAAGAAATAAAATTACGTAATTACTGTTCTATGCATATATTACATCTTAAAATGATTAATATCAGTAAAAGGTTTGAGCATTGTGGATTAGATCAAATAAAGTATAATTATATTTCAATAATTTACACACAATAATACGTTTTGTTACTGGTAATATTTCGAGCAAAATTACTGCCCCTGTTCACACCACTGTTGGAATTGTTTTATTCACACATTTATGATTTGTACTCACACATATATAGTTCATTTTTTTTCGCTCATTCATGTTTTATGTGTGTATGTGTGTTCAGGATTATATTCCACATTCATTCATGCGTTTGTATTTAGAATTATATTCTAAGTTGTTGATAGTTGTACTGAGTCACCCTTGTTACATGTATCCGGTGTGACTTTAATGAATATCGATTTTCAGGATTTCATCATGAGCTGACATTAGTTAGGGAACCATTGGAAAACCTGCGGGGAGTACTGAACAGCTGTTTCGTCCTAGTTTGGGACTCTTCAGCAGTACGCACCCACCGGATTCGAACCCAGGACCTTCTGGTTACAAGGCGAGCTCGTATACCATTAAGCCACTGGGACCCGATCCAATGGCCACTCCATGAATTCTAACTTCTGCCAATTCACGACATAGCGGGACCGCTAGCCAATGTCTTCGGCGAGTATTTGTCCTCACACCTGACCAGCTGCACCCTACTGGTCACGACTTCCCACCGGGTTCGAATCCCGGTGGGTGCGTACTGCCGAAGAGTCCCAACTAGGACGAAACAGCTGTCCAGTACTCCCAGTTTTTCCAATGGTTCTCTAACTAATGTCAGCTCATGATGAAATCCTGAAACCAATCAAATCCCTACAAACCAACACTTGAATATCGATTTTGTTATGAGTCTTTCTTCTCATTTGTTCATGTTTGTTTTAAGAATACACACATTGTCCCAATCGATATAGTGGTTTTTGTCCCATAATGCATGTGCAGCTATCGATGAATTTTTTTCAAGATTTTTGTAAGCTTGTGTCCCTGTTGGTTGACCTTTAGTTAGGCGTTTATGTTCATTCACTCTTATTTTGAGTGATCTGGACGTTTGCCCCACATATTTGGTTGGACAGTCAGCACAAGATATTTTATAAATCAAATTGTTTTTATCCATCATTTTTATGGGATCTTTCAGTTGATTTATTTTATTTTTGATTAGATTCGTCGGTTTGAACGTTGTTCGAATGCCGATATTTTTGAGGTTTCTTTGTATTGCCTCTGATGTACCACTTTTATATAGTATTGTGGCTGTTTTTTTCCATTCTTCCATCTTGTTATTCTCCGGTTTTACCCTCTTTTTTCTCTTTTTTATATTATCTTTTATAAATTCTTTAGGGTAGTTGTTTTCGAGTAGCATTTTGAATAGGACTTTTATTTCTTTACCCTGGTCCTCTGGTGTTGTTGTAAGTCTACGTATTCTATCTGCAAGACCTTGTATTAATCCTCGTTTTTCTGTGAGTGGATGAGCTGATTGATAACCAAGGAATCTTCCAGAGTTTTTCTATATAGCGTCGTTTTTATGCTACCATCTGTTATTCTTTGTATTTTGCAGTCTAACATAGGCAGTCCCCCTATGATGTGTCTGTGTTTTACTGGTGGAATGCTTGTCAAACACCCGTGTAGTTTGACGACTAATTTCCGGCCTGCGTACTCCTAGCCAGTAGCAATCTCAACAAGGAGAGAAGGTTTAAGGTGAAAGGTTGGTAAGCCCTCTCCCCTCAAAAGTGTTACAACATCAGTGACGTCAGTGATTTCAAAGCTTAAAATCTTTGAATCTCTATGTCCCACTTGGAACGCAAAACAAATGAAAAATATTATTAAATTGGTGGATGGTGACTAGCAATGGAATCCAGGATGCGCATTCCCTCCTACTCGGGACTCGTCATCTGGATGTACCTGAATTTCTCAGTGAGTGGTAATGTTCCCACCGAGGCTCGAACCCAGTGGCCATAGTTTCAAACGCCAAAGCGTTGTCCAATAGATCAGTTGAGCTACTAATTAAATGTCCAGACATCGTCGAAGCATCTGCACAAGAAGCCACCGCACCGACATATCAACCTGAGACCAAGCACTTCAGTCCAATTAATCGATGAGAAAATTAAAAATTCAATTAAATGAAAAATATATTTTAAAAAATTCATTGTAAAGAAAGAGACAACTTACTTGTGCATACCACATTGTTGAATCAGGTATAGGAATTTTAACAACATACGCTAAACGTGCCTTTGTACCAACACGTAATTCATTCATTGGTTCTAATTCATACAGGGCACCTTCTTCTGAACATTCTGCTGTATCCACAGTTTCAAAATCCCATATCTATTTTAAAATCAGAAAATTAATGCAATTAATAATAATAATAATTTTCCCTTCACGTTCCAGTGGAACATAGGGCTCCAAGCTGTAGCAGTGTTTACTTTTTACAGGATGGGGTTGCTAGCCTCATGCCCAACCTTTCCTCTTTACCAGCATTATTTCTGGCTCAGTGAGGTAAAGGAGTTCGCCGGCCGGGGATCGAACCCCGGACCATATGCATGGCCGGCGAGCGTCCTAACCACTATACCACCGACGATGCAATCAATAGTGAATTAATTATTAAAGCAAAAGCAAAGTAAAAAAAAATCAAAACTTTTGCAGGGAACAATTAGTGAAGGGGTTAAAACCAAGGTAGAATAAGAGACTGGACAAACTTTTTCTGCATACAGAGTTCAAGGTTGAATTCATGAATTCCCAGCGCCTCCGCCATACACAAAAGCCGAAACCTGATGCCCTTTGTAATGCAAATAATAGTTATAACTGAAATTTAGTCAACTTCTGGATAATTAACTTCTTGATAACATTTTCAATTAATCTTCCTGAATCAGTTTCTTTTTCACTAGTATCCTATTATGGTGCTGGCTGTCTGCTATCCCGAAATTGGAAGGCAGCAGTTCACGTCAATGTTTACTTCCCAAGTCTTGGTTATGAAGAAAAACAATGACGAAGCCTAACCTTGAGGAACTCAACAACCAATCACAGCAGACTTTGCGTGGGCGGATACGATTATCAGATATATGGTCTGACCTTCAAAGAGACGGCCACAAGGAGATAACAGAATAACTTCCAGTGAGGAAACAACCAATCAGAAGAGACTGTTTCTCTACTGATAATAACGAATAATAATGTGCATAAAAATCAATAAATATTTGTTGATATACTCAATAAACGATCTGTTGCCTGTCCCTTATCTTTTGTTGTTACACTATGATGTTTTATACTACTACTGATTCGATCATGAGTCGACATCAGTTAGAGAACCATTGGGAAACCAACAGCGAGTATTTGACAGTGGTTTCGTACTAGTTTGGGACTCTTCATTTGTACACATCCCCTGAGCGTAGGGATACTAATCACATCGGTTAATATCATGCATTTATGCTTGCTTTCTCGATTAACATTCAAGGTACCAAGCAGGTGGATTACACATTGTGATTTGAACAGCTTCCGTTTTCGAAAGGAATTGTGGTGAAATTGTGTCTCAGACTGTTTAAGCTACAAATCGTTGGTTTGTTGCGATAGGATTTCATTAAAACTAAACGTTAGTCCGAAATGGTGAGTTGAAAGCAGAAAAATTGCAGTAAAAACTATATACGACTGATTGACTTATATAAGTAGTTGACGGCCATTGAGTTCAATTAGTGATACATCCTAGTTGGATTTTAGTTGTTTAAATACGAGACAGGCATTTCATTCATTTGAATTCAGGTTTATCGATGGTGTACACGGTTGAACTCATCTCAGAGAGTTGAATCAGTCAAACCATTCGACCTCTGCCTACTTGGCTACTCGGCTGAACTGGTAATACTATAATTCAAGTCATATTCATAATTTGCAAGTTAACTCAGTTCCAGATGGAATTTCTCCACAATTTCCTTCAAAAATCGAAACTTTTCAGATCACAGTATACGATCCGTTCGTCATCATAAGTAATAATCAAGAAAGCTAACCAGATCTAAATGATATAATGAGCAGACGGCCGTTTCTCTCCTTTGTGAGGTAGAACTCATCAGCAGCGTACTGAGTTTGACTAAGCACAAAGAAGAGAATCATTTGAGACCACTTCAGAGAAGTGGTAACACATAGAATTAAATCGCTAACTACTACAACTACCAATTTATTAGTTTTCCCTTGGGTTCCAAATGGAACATTACAGGGATTCACCAGCACTTCTCCACTCTTTTCTATTTTCTGCTGTCCTTTTTCAGCTGGTTCCAGAATTTTCCATAATCTCCCATCTCCTACTCGTCACACGATCTCCTTTATGTCACCCGTGTCTGTCTGTCTGTCTGTCTGGATTCAACATAGAACTTGGCACCAAAGTGCAGCAGTTCGAGTTGCCACCTTCCAAATAGCACACAGAGGTAGACAAGAAGATGAGTGAAGAGAATCAATACAGTCTGACAAGTATAAGAGTGAAACAGAATGGGTAATGGTAGAAAGGAATATGAAAGATTACAGAGACTGAATACATCTTTGCTGGCCATTGACAACGATTTTGAGCCATGTCACCTATTGTCTCCAGCCATTGATTCCTAGAGTCCCGAGGGCCCCAACCCGGGAGTCTGCATCTCCCTACCTGACCGACTCAGTTTAACTGTCAAGGATTTCATGGATTGATGAGGCCATGTTTTTGTTTGGCCACTCGTGTACCAACGACTCACTCTCCGTTTCCCATTGTGATTCCATTTGGGCGATGGATTGCACTGAGCGCAATGTCATTCGACGGTTTCCTCAGTCTAATAGCCTGTCCACTTCCATTTTCTCCTACATATTTGTTGAGTGATCGGCTCTTGGTTAGTTTGTTTCCAGTCAGAGTTTCTTGTTGCTAATCCTCCTTTCTGGCTTGCCAGCCGGCTGGCCATTTGGTCTTCAGAATGTCCATATAAATCTGTGCAATACGCCTTAATGTAATTTTGCTTGCTCTCTTGATTGTTCGTTAAGTTATCAAGTGGATGCCCCACTGTGACCTGTAGATTTCTAGGCTTCTAAAGGAAAATGTAATGAATATTTACCTGAAAATTGCGAATTTGGATCTACTGGTCCATTCCCCATATTCTTTCTGTGGGGAAGATAATTAAGTTACGTGTAAGACTTGGGTACTTTGGTAGTATGTATGTTTCACAGGTTTCCTCTTTTTTTACGGTAGCACTGTAACAGTTAAAGACAAGAAACTTGACGACGGAATGTTAATATATAGAATTTGATATCTCTCTCTATAAGGAAATTATGTATACCTTATATCCAAATCGTCATTTGCACAGATCTTCTGCATTGTACTACTTTTACCCTTCGTATTGTGTTTCTCTTTATCTTCTTTTCGTGTCTTCCATGTTTTACCGCAATACTGGTTCATTTTGCTCACTCTGGTGACAAATCTCTCTCTCTCCGCAACTTCATATTTTCGGGCCAATGAACCTCTCTTTAAATGCTACTGATAAATCTTATCAGTGTTGTCACAGTGATGTTTTTTAATGTTCCATATTCTTACTATTTTCATTTCTTTGCGCATGTCTATCATTTACTATTGATGATTTCATTCATAAAATTTCTTATATAATACTTCCTGAATTTGTCTTGATACAACTAATGATATGATTATGAACAATAAATTGTGTCTAGAAGTCATTCAGTTAGTGCTACTATTTTCATGGAGAAGATGCCTTCGAAACATTTTGCATGATCATTTACAGATTAGAATGGAAGGTCGTATTTTCATACAACCGGTTCCCATTTATTAGACTGAATCAAGAGAGAGCGAAGATATTTTCAGAAAAATACTAGCTGGTTTTATATAGTGTATTCTATTCAACTACTGCTTACATCCTAAACAAAATCAGCTATTAGTCAATTCGTGGGTGGTGACTAGAAGTGGAATCCAGTCGGCATGCGAATTTCCTCCCATTCGGCACATGTCGCTTGAACGTACCTGTAGTTCTCAGTGAGTGAGTAAGTCAGTAAGTGAGTAAGTGAGTAAGTGTGTGAGTGTGTGAGTGCGTGAGTGAGTGAGTGAGTAAGTGAGTAAGTGAGTGAGTAAGTGAGTAAGTGAGTGAGTGAGTGAGTAAGTGAGTAAGTGAGTGAGTGAGTGAGTTAGTGAGTGAGTGAGTAAGTGAGTAAGTGAGTAGGTGAGTAAGCGAGTGAGTGAGTGAGTAAGTGAGTGAGTGAGTGAGTGAGTGAGTATGTGAGTAAGTGAGTGAGTGAGTAAGTGAGTAAGTGAGTAAGTGAGTGAGTAAGTGAGTAAGTGAGTGAGTGAGTGAGTGAGTAAGTGAGTAAGTGAGTGAGTGAGTAAGTGAGTAAGTGAGTGAGTGAGTGAGTGAGTGAGTGAGTAAGTGAGTAAGTGAGTGAGTGAGTGAGTAAGTGAGTAAGTGAGTAAGTGAGTGAGTGAGTGAGTGAGTGAGTGAGTGAGTGAGTGAGTGAGTAAGTGAGTAAGTGAGTGAGTGAGTGAGTGAGTGAGTGAGTGAGTGAGTGAGTGAGTGAGTGAGTGAGTGAGTGAGTAAGTGAGTAAGTGAGTGAGTGAGTGAGTGAGTGAGTGAGTGAGTGAGTGAGTGAGTAAGTGAGTAAGTGAGTAAGTGAGTGAGTGAGTAAGTGAGTGAGTGAGTGGGTGTGACAGTGCTCTGACCCAGGCTTGAAACCGGTGCCTGTAGTTTCAAACGCCAAAGCGTTATCCACTAGACCACTTTAATCAAGAGAGTTGGCTCGTATGCAATGGATCTTCTTAATTATTTATTCCAATTTTAAGTTATAACGGTTGTGAATATACTCTATACAATGATTTTGAGTTATACATAGAAAGTATGTGCAACATATTTGCAAAAATGATGTAAGTAGACGAAGTATTCAGTCAAAAGTAGACAAGTATCCTGCTGCACAAGTCAACTCCAACCGCATTTGCCAATTCACTTGCAATTGTTAAGTAAGTACATAAGAAGGAATGGTGGAGAAAGCGTCTATTAGATTCTCCAACCATATCCCTAAAAGTCTTCGTATGAAAGGTAGCCAAATTGTTCTCAAGTGCAGTTGGCAGACACCTGATAGACCGACACAGGATATAAAGTGGAAATTAGCCTGCAGGCTTTCAATATAATCAACACGCAAATAAAAATAAATCGTTACTTCAGTTCGCAGCAGCTATAGCCACCATCAAAAGACTCCTCGACCCAACACCTCTGTATACGACAACATAGTGTGACTAATCTCTCACTACTCTAGTAGCCAACAATAATTGAGTTTTTTTCGTGTGCTTCTGTGTTTTGCTCTGTTGCATAATACTCAACCTAATTTTGATTTTCACTTACTGAGTTGAACTCACCATCAAGTTTCCAAATTTACTAAATTATTTTGTCTATGTTATAATCTTACTTTACTGTTCAACCCCACCCTCCTGAACTTTCCACTATTATCATTATTATTATTGTATCCTTTAGTTCCTAGAGGAACATAGAGCTTCAGCTGCGCACCTCCATTGCCTTCGGTTTTCTGACAACTTTTTCACCTCGCTCCAGGTCTGTCCACACGCTTTCATCTCCTCCTCGCATGACCTCCTCCAAGTCACCCTTGCACTGACGACCAACTCGCCGCCTCCCTTTCGGGTTCCACTCGAGCGATGGCTTGTCTAGTGATGTCACTTGATGGTTTCCTCAGAGTATGGCTAACCAATCCATCTCCATTTCTTCCTGCCTATTTGTTTCACAATCGGTTCCTGATTGGCTCGCTCCCAGAGATCCCTGTTGCTGATCTTTTCTGGCCATCTGAACTTGAGTATTGAGCGAAGACACCTGTTAATGAAGGTCTGAAGTTTGTTTGAGATGCTCTTTATGACGCATTGGCCAAGTCTCTGATCCGTAGAGTAAGTAGCACTGACTTCCCATTGGAGTTGAAAATCCGGATCTTATTTTTGATTCTGAGTGCTGTTGACCTCCACACAGATTTGAGAGCAATGAAAGCTTGTCTTGCTTTTCCGATTCTGGCTTTGATATCCTCGTCAGCTCCGCCTGTAGTTGAGATGATGCTTCCCAGGTAGGTGAAGGAGGCTGTTTCTTTCGAGTTCCTCCCATTTATGCTGATTGTTGTCTGTTGTTGTTGTTGATGATGTTGGCCAGGAATCTTCATCACCTCTGTTTTATCTATGTTCACCTGAAGTCCCATCTTTGATGCTTCTTCTTTGGCCAACTTGTTGCTTTTCACTTGCATATCTTCCAGTTTATGGGAAATCAGACATATATCATCATCGGCGAAATCCAGATCCTCCAAGTCTTTTGTGTCAGTCCATTTTATGCCTGTTCTCTCGTTGGTTGCCGTTGTCTGTCGCATTATCCACTATAATATGTATAAATTCACTCTATTGTCCTATCTTGTATTTTGTCTCTAGTCCGTCGTTGTTTCCAAGAGAGATCTGAAGCCTAACCCTCTTTTTATCTAATCATTCTATAAATAATTACTCTGTTAACACTAAATAATTGTCTACTAACATGATCTTTGAAATGCTATTGCTTATACATTCTATCTCCAACTCGAAGTCATTGTATAGAGAATGTTCAGAAGTGTTATAACTAATGATTCGTTTTTGTTTAGAATATACGCAACAGTTGAAGAGAATCCACGAAGTGAAACAAACTTGTAATATCCTGCAAATATGTAGGAAAGGTCGTAGTCTAAATTTTTGCCACCTAGTTATCTCTGTGTATCACAAAGACCATAAATTGTAGATTCCATTTTTTTTTAAGAAATCATGGCACTCGATTACCTAATGACTTGCCGAGTAGACTTAATGTCACAGAAATTTCACAGAGATTTATATGATTCAAGTTGGATTATCCTTCTAGGTGAATATGAGCAAAAGATACAGCCTTCTGAGAAGCTTGAAGACGAGTCTAGGTGTTTATGGTATGCAAGTAGTCATTTTCGAAAGCGAAATGATCCTACAGAACTGATATGAACCGAAAAGTAGTCTACGAATACGTAGTGAACTTGTTAGATGCGTTAACCACTTCACCTATTCAAGAAGTTACATCCGCACTATCGAAGTGATCGCTGACAAGATTTCAGCTCGAGTAGAGAAAGCTCCGTTATGATTGCTTTGATATCCAGTGATTCAATGAAACGCGTGTATGCTGTGAAGTAGTTCTCTCTTTTCGCTACTTTACTGCCATGAAACCTGACCGCTAGAAGCAGAAATTAAGAAAGAATTACCAGTTCCTGAACACAGGTGAGTCCGTTCAATCGCCCTTGTTACTCGGTACAATATGGTTAGAAAAAATTAGGTTAGATACGGTGTTACGTAAGAACTTAAGGTTTGTAGTTGAAACTGTGAGGTTCCGTCAACTGAAATAGCTAGAACGTGCAATTATCCATGCCGTGCAACCACCTTGAACGATGAACAATGTCACTCGAAAGAACCAACTGCATCACTCCATGAAATCTGCGACTGCTGCATTGAGAGACAAGTAGGGAGATGTAGTGTGTCTGAATTGGTTTCTGGAGATTCTAATACTGTTGGAGACATGGCTAAAATAATATATATATGTATAACCTCCATGTCATTTCTGAGTACGCAACTAGTTGCTCACTCCTTATTCGAGTTTCATCGGAGGGTCTGGCGGTTGTTATCACCCAACGGTCTCCTCAGCGTATATCCAGTCCATTACCATTTTCTTCTGCCTATTCGTGGGATAAAAGATTGTTGGTTGGTTTTCTGCCTGCTAGATTTCGTTGCTGTCCATCCTTTCTGGCCAGCTTATCTTCACTTTCGAACTAGTGAAGGCAGCCGTTGTTGAAAGTCCTCAGTAGCATATTGGAAATGCGATCTACAAGTCTCCAATCCACATAGAACCACTGATCTGACAGTAGTTATGAAGAACCTTGTCTTCTTCTCCAGACAGCAAGCCTCCACATCGGTTTCAGATTACTGGACACCCATCTAACATCTCCGATTAAGGTTATTTATGACCCCCCTCTCCTATGTCGCCGCCCATAGTTGAAACGATGCTCACTAGATGAGTGGGAGAGGTGACTTCCATTAAATTTCTCTTGTTGAAGGTGATTGATGTCTTTTACTGGAACAAGCACGATTCAGAAAAGGCAAATTATGTGAGAATCAAATTACAACTCGATGAATCACCATTGAACAAAGCATAGAATGGCATCTATATAAGAATACAACTCATGCACTGAGAGAGAGAGAGTATAATTCCCACAATGGAATCAACTCCATCGACTTCAAAAAGACCTTCAACAGACACTGTTAACCAAGAAGTAGTTTGGAAAATACTTCAACACTACTGGGCGCAGTATCCCAAATCTCTATCAGCCTCATTCAACGGCTATGTCAGGTGATCTACAACAGTAAATCCAACTACGATTAAAAATGAGTGTAGACAGGAGTAGGACAAGACTGACTGCCTATTATCACCCATAATAATATTCTTAATTGTGCAAGGACTGGATAATACGTCATACTGTGGGAAGCGAGAAGACAGAAATACGTTGAACTGACCGATGAGAAGACTCTAGAAGATCTGGATTTCGTCAATGGATGGCTTATGTTTCATGTTATACAAACTCGAAAACTTAGAGGTAGAACCCAGCAAACCGGCTAGAGAAGCGGGCAGAAAACACAGGACTTCAGGTGAATATAGAGAAGACAGAGGTTGTGAAGATAACCAACCAACAGCAACAATAAAAACAACCAGCACCAATCACCGACCATCAACGGAAGAGATTTGGACAGAGATTAGTTCCTTCACTTAAATAGCTAGGAAGCACAGTGTCGACCACAAGCAGACGGGACAGGTGAAGGTGTCAAAGCCAGACAGTCAAAATCGGAAAAGCAATTTGCACCTTCATCAATGAGAAACCAGTTTGGAAAGTTTCTGCACTCAACCAGCATAAACAACAAGATTCGATGGGATTCTGTTCAACACAAATGTCAAGTCGGTCAGTCAGTCAGTCAGTCATTTCTTCTATATGGGTCGGAAACTTGCACTAGTTACATACTGTTGTCAACAACTGTCACCTTCGCTGGCTAGCTCCATACTGAAGATCAAATGGCCAGCTGGCCGGCCGGCCGGCCCGCCAGAAAGAATTGGCGGCAAGAATCTCTGGCTAGTGACGAACCAACTAACAGAGAGCCGATTGCTCAACAAATATGTGGAAGAAAATGGAAATGGATTAGGCGCGCACACACACTGAGGAGATCGTCAAATGACATGTCATGTAATGCAGGCCCTCTCTGGCGTGGAACCTGAATGGCAAACGACGAGTTCGGTGTGGGTTCGACGGTGATAAGGAAGAGGTTGTGCGGCGAGGAGGATGAGGAGACGAGAGATTATGGATAATCGTGGACTCAGATGTAGAGGATGGCAGAAAATAGAAGACAGTAAAGATTTGTCGCTCAAGCCGTATGTTCCATTAGGAACCCAAGAAAATAATAATATATGGGCAGTTGTAGTAGCTAGTGATTTAATTCCATGTGTTACCAGTTTTCCTAGGTAGCTTATGCTCAGTTCAAGTGATTTCCACTGATTCTCTTCTTTGTGTTTAGTCAAACGTTAGGGAGGTCGTCGAGTGGCATGGCGTGCAGAGCAATGCATATTTCCAGTAGAATCCCAATAGGAAGTGATGACTGGGTCGTTGATTCGTGGTTGACATAGAGGAGATGGTATGAGAAGCAGAAGAAAGAGATGAGAGATTATGGGAATCGTGGATGTAGTTGAAGAAAAGAGTAGAGAATATAAGAAATTGGAGATGTGTTGATAAAGGCGTGCATTCCACACGGAACCCAAGGGACCAATAACAATCTTAATGTTTCGGTCTTAAACCCGGGAAAGGGAGGAAAGCTTAGATGTGGGGCTAACGATCCTACCCCGGGGAAACCAGTCCGTCTGCTACAGAAACTTCAAAGTAAGATAATAAATTTCAATACATAAATTATAAATCAATAAAACTCACTCTAATCCATCCATCTTGACCAATTGTCATCAACTCGCCTTCATCCATAACAATTTGCATAATATATCCATTATGACAAGGTCGTTTGCCTTTCCTTGAAATTTGCACTTTAATTAATTCTCCATCCCATACAAGTAGATTACCCCATGCAGAACCGGTTAAAACTTTACCATCTGGCAGTGTAATAAATCCTTCAATATCTGTTAATTCAACTTTGCCAAATTTTCCCAGCTTTCCTTGAAGTTTTAATCCTGTAAATGTATGCGCCATTTTCCAAAATCTTATATGTCCAACACCAGCTGTTGTCAAGACACCAGATAAATCTGTTGACCAAGCCACTCGATAAATATCTTGTGAAAATGCCTTAGCTCTTAATACAATCTGTTCATTACGCCATTCCCATAAAGTTAACATATAGTCTGGATCACAACCAACTGTAGCGATCATTTCACCATCCGGACTGTTAAAAAAGAGAAAAAAAATATAGTAATCAAGTTCAACAAATACTCTCAAATGAAAATTTATATTTTTTAACTGATAGGATAAGACACATTACACTAGTTACTGACTAGTGTTCAATCAAAAATATCCAATACAGTCCTACAGGAGGTCATTCGCAAGCCATCTCGAATAGCTCAATGGTGGTAATATCTCGGACGCGGGTTCGAATCTCAGAAGCGATATGAGTTCGTTTGACGTTGCAGGTATGCCTTGCTGGTGTCTGTTAACTAGTACGAAACCTAGACCAAGCAAGGCTTCCTGTGGCCAATGGCCTCCAGCCATCTAATACCAACATTTTAACTGAATAAATTAAGATATGAAAAAAGCATACTATGCGGAATATATTCCAATATTTTGATGTGGTTGTGTTCCCTGAGCTGGATAGTTGATTTGAGAAGCTTTCATTGCCCCGCCCCCCCCCACACTAGGCAACATCTTCAGCGCATACTTTAATTTAAATTGAAGTGAGCTTTCAGATTTCTCCACAAGTTTATGAATCATCTCTCCTGGTGACCTGGAGCCTCGTGATTGGTTACTTGTATTGGAACTGATTGTTTCTCTAACTTGAACTTTGACCCTTTGTGTGTGTGTGTGTGTGTGGTTTCTTTCTTATCGGTTGATAAATTTTGTCTATCTCGATGTGTCTATTGATTGATGATTCACTGGAATATCAGGCAGCCTTCTAAAAATTCTCTAGCATTCTTGTTGTTTCTCCTCTGTCTAATATTTGAACATTGTCCCAGTCGAATTGATGTCCGTGGTTGTCTGTATGTAGTGATATGAGGGAATGGATATCATGTCTTTTGATGGCTAGCTTGTGTTCGTGGATACAAAGACGAAGGGAACGTCCACTTTGACCAATGTAGTGTTTTTCGCAGTTGTTTACAATTTATTTTGTAGATGATGTTGGTTTTATCTTCTTTCGTTGTTGAGTCTTTTGGTTGACCAAGAACCACAGGCATCGATTCGACTGGGGCAACTAACATTCAGACAGAAGAAACACCAAGAATGCTAGAGAATTTTTAGAAGGCTGCCTGATATTCCAGTGAATCATCAATCAATAGACACATCGAGATAGACAAAATTTATCAACCGATAAGAAAGAAACACACACACACACACACACAAAGGGTCAAAGTTCAAGTTAGAGAAACAATCAGTTCCAATACAAGTAGCCAGGAGGATGTGAAAACACACAAAAACAACCAATCACGAGGTTCAAGGTCACCCACTAGGAGAGATGACTAATAAAATCTTGGGAAAATCTAAAAGGTCGCTTCAAATTGAAGTATGCGTTGAAGATGTCGCCTAGTAGGGCGAAGAAAGCTTCTCAAATTAACTATCCAGCTCAGAGAACAAAACTACATCAATATCATCCTTGCTGAGCTACAAATCTTCTCTATCATATATTCCAATATCTGACATCGAATACAAAGCATCATCTCAAATACAGGCGGACATTGCAGATGAAGATGTCAAAATCACTCGGGACCTGAAAGATTTGTATCTCACACTTTCATCACATTTTGAAATCAGTGCGAAAATCTGGTGCACTCAACATAAAAAACTGATATGTATCCACATATATATTTATGTGTGTGTGTATGTTGGTCTCTCTTTCTGTTTGCTCGCTTAGTCTGTGACCACTTCACTTGTATGAACCTGTCTCCGTTAACAATGTATATTCCCCTTATATATAATATAATATGAGTGTTTGTTGACAGTCCGTTGCTCGGTGACAGATATCCATATTATATGTGTGGTTGTTGACATGTCTGTTATATTTCGCTATGTATATATGGATCGACACTCCATTATAATTAGCCATTCATGTTAAGACTGTCTATTGATTTGTTCACACACTTATTCGGACATTCATATATATTTCGCTCACACAATCTTGTGTGACACTTTGGTGTGATACCACTTTTGCATTCTCCTTGTGTTTGGAAAATAGAAGTATCATCGCAAACCTAGTGGTCTTCTGATTTCCGCGTTCTTGCGTCAGGACTATTAGTTTCTCGACCAGTCCATAACAATAATTTAGCGACGAGTGTATAACAATTTGGCGACGGGGAAAACTACTATTAACCACTCAGCAGCAGCAACATAACAAGATCCAAACTCATTGTGGATAAAATTTTTTGATAAAATCACACAGTATTAGCTGGTTGAAGGCAATCGGTCACATGAAGCTTTGCTTGACCTGGATTTCGTGCTAGTTGACACTCACCAGTCAACAAGGGGTATCTGCAATCTTTAAAGGAACTGATGTCCTTTCTAAGATTCGAACCAGCGTCACCTAGTACTGAAGTCATACACACACACACAGTGTGTGTTATATAGTAATATTTAGTGATGACCACGTTTCGAGCAGAATTGACACACTGCTCATAATCATATCAAGGTAGTACTCACACAACTTTCTTGCTTCATTTATATACATGAGAGTAAAAATTGATGATTAGATATTTGAATAAAATCAACACTCGGAAATAATATGAATGTTAGTGATCAAATACAATCAGATGGGAAATAAGATGACTTTTGCAGTAAAATAAATAAATAACTTGTTAGAAGGTTATAATGTGAATTGAATACATTTTAACAATATTTATTATCCTCCTCTGATTTGACTAGTAGTGATGATATCTTTCATATCTCTGGTATTTGCAAACAGATGGCGTATCAATGAGCTCTCCATTGGGACCCCTCTTAGCCGACTATTATATGGCCAACCTCGAAAACAACTTATCATCGACTATCACTGACATCCATCTTTACAAGAGATACATTGATAATACTTTCATCATTTGTGATAAGAACCCAAACCTTGAAAACTTACTTGAAAACTTCAACAATGCCCACCAAAACATCAACTTCACTTTTGAAGCTAAATCTGACTGGAATATTCCCCCACTTCCTCAACGTCCATCTGACAAGAAACGCCAAAAACTCTCTGTAAACGTTCACTTACAAAAAGTCTATATGAAATGGACAATTCATCAACTTTCAAAGCTTCGTGTGCCTAAGCATAAGATATGCAGTGAAGAAGTGATTGATTAAGAACTGAATAACCTTGGAGGAACGCTGATGGAAAACGGCTTTTAGACAAGAATCTCAAATCTAAGAATATCTGTGAACAAGTTCAATCCACCCAAAAGTAGATACTTCTGCTTAATCTAGAATTCAAAGGTGACTGTGGTGATTGACAATTTCTATCTCTGTATTGTTTAAAATACTTACTGTTGACTGTTGATATGTTTCTTATATGAATTGCATAATAATTCCGCTAAATACAAATTCCTGATTCTGCCCTCTCGTGTTTTGTTTGGATTCTTGTAATTCGGGAAATACTAATATTCCAAGTACAATAAATTACTACAAATTGGCGTCGCGATGGAACTAAATAACCTGGGAAAATTCCTATAATGCTCTCCGCGGAGATTGCTGATTATTTGGAATGCTTCGATGCGTGGTGCATTTCAAAGAATGTTCGGGATGACAAAATACCAGCACATTTCATCACTGCTATTGGGCTTGATGCATATAGCCTAGTGAAGAATCTGGCGTTTCCAGATAAACCCATTTCTCTGCCATATGCTAAGCTCCGTGAACTTCTTATAGATCACTTCCATATAACTACTTTTGAGACCGAGAGAGGGCTCACTTCAATAAACTGGTTCGTGCTCCCAACCAGAAGATTCGAGACTTTATTCTGCAACTCCAAATACAAGCTTCAAAGTGTAACTTTGGAGATCAGCTGCATACTCAACTACGTGATCGTCTAATTGCTGGAATCAATATTCCTAAGTTAGAGAAAGAGTTAATTCAGATTCCTTCTTGTACTTTCAAACTGCTAAAGATTATGTATTACATATGAAGATGTCAATAATGAATACTCTGCTCCCACTACGTCAGTGTCTGATGTTATGCTTTCTAAAGTCGAAAATACAAGTGGTATGGAAAGCAATCCAAACTGCCGTCCACAGGTAATAGAATGCAGCGAGAGATCAAAAACATTAAACCGTGTTTTCCTGTGGAAAGTTACATCTACGAAGCACTTGCCGTTTTCGGGGTGCTAAGTGTCACAAATGTGGTAAAGTTGGACACATCAAGACGGTTTGCAGAAGTTCGAATACTTATGTTGCTCAACATTCTTATAATTCTCCCAAGCTGTCTAGTAAAATGGAGTCAATGTGTCTTTCAACCTTTCAAAATACTCAAGCTAATCAATGAAAACCTCCACTACAAGTTCGGCAACTCAAGTGTCAACTGTTTTCAAAAATGAGGTAGCTGAGTTACAATGTGAACTGTCGAAAACACGAAAAGACCTGAATGAGATGAGAGAGCAACTGATTAAAATTGAGGAATTACTGCATATGCATAGACTGCGTCTGTCGAATGCAGAGCATACAAGTACCCGTGAAAGTCCTGCAAAACTTTTCAAATCTCGAATTCTCAAAAAGCATCTGATGTCCACGACTTCTAATGTACATTATTACAAAGGAATGACTATAGACCTTCTGTTGGAATTATACTACAAAAAATGGGAAATCGAGTGGTGAAGATATTAGACATCAAAGATCACTCAGTTCATAACGGACACCTGGACAAAGTGACAATAAATGAAGTAGGTCGTTCCAATTATAATATTATTGATTCCGCTAATAATCCTGATTTTGTAGATAATTCAGAAATAAGTCCAGATAATACTGATGAAAATAATATCACAGAATCAGTTAGGTCGCAGCTACTTGCAAGCAAACCGAGACATCGTTATAAATACGCAAGAGATATTCGAGGTGTGGCGGATGTGGTGATTGACAATTTCTATCTCTGTATTGTTAAAATACTTACTGTTGACTGTTGATATGTTTCTTATATGAATTGCATAATAATTCCGCTAAATACAAATTCCTGATTCTGCCCTCTCGTGTTTGTTTGGATTCTTGTAATTCGGTCATCTCGAAATACTAATATTACAAGTACACTAATTACTACAGTGACATTGTGAAGCAGAAATCCTTCATAAACGCCTCTGCAAATCTCTGAGGAAAGTATACTTCACTGCAAGCTTGGCTGATGACTTTGTCGAAAAGAAAATTCTCTTCGCTGCAACTGTCTATTTATTATTGCTATTATTCCCTATGATCAAATGTGTATATTCCGTCATGACAAAAAAGATTTAACATAAACACACGCAACCTACCTAAATTGACATGCAGAATAAGCAGTTTGTGTCCCCTCTCTTAATATTCGATATAATTTCATTTCAGGATATTGATAAATACACACAAACGGTAGTGTACCCTTTTCAGCTATCGCTATATAATTGTGCTGTGGTGGACTGAAAATGCACCTATGCCAACACCACTTATTGAACGCAAGAGGATTTTTTCCCGTGTCTCTGTATTCATAATTTGTAAATAATTACCAAAGATATGACAAAGTACGCTATTCTCAAGCAATTGTAGATTCTCTCTACGTGATGCATCCATCCCGAATTGATGGTATATAGTCAACAGATTGTCTGGTATACCAGAATCTTCTGAAATCATTGGACCTGCTATGAATTCATTAATTTCATAATAAAATTCAGGATCAATAATTTTTTTCGGTTGTTCATTTGGTTTGATAGCATCATTTTGACTATCATCCTCGTCACCCTCACCTTCACCCTCTCTATTCTCTGGAGAATCTTTAGCATCTTGATTACTCTCTGATGCATTCTTTTGACGTGTTGATGATCTCTCCTCACTCATTGATTTTTTTGTTGATGTTTTTTCGGTGATCTTGTCTTTATCTTTATCGTCTTTTGTAGCTTTTGGTTGATTTGGATTTTTCTCCTCTTGGTTGTCATTGTTATTATTATTATTATTACTATTATTAGTTTGTAATTTCACAACTGAATTTTCATCAGAACTATCAGGAGGTGATACTTTACCACCATCACCGTCATCAACATTGTCAATATCATCATCGTCATCTTTAAGGATATTCACTGTATTGTTTAAATTATCTTCTTGATTGGACATTGAAATATTTGAACCGCGGCTGTTTCAAATGATAAAATAACAGTGATATTTAAATACATATCAATATTATTTATAATACCTTTAGATATTCCCATTTATAATATTAGAACAAGGCATATAAGCGAACAATATTATTTTCAGTTAGACTTTCAACAGGCTTTACTCCAATTTATATATATATATATAACCAATGATAGTGATTTTGTGGATCAAATAATAATATTAATGTGATAAATGCGTTTGTTAATGAGCATCTTCCTTCATGGTTTGGAAAACGTCAAATAAAATCTATAAGAAGTTCTATTTTGGCTCATTTGATTGATGATAGCGGTCACCAAGTGGACAAAAATAGTGCCTTCAAAGTTTTATCTATCGCATTCCATTGAGTCTTTCGAACGGAATTCGAATCCGTCTTTTACACCTAGCCGAAGCTAGGAGAATTGATTCGAGAGAACAATCCTAGTGTCTTTGCATACAACAAAAGAAGTTTGTTCTACCTTTATCTCCCCCACCCTTGGCTGAGGTAAATTCTAATTAAACCCCCTGGTCCCCACTCTTTCTTATTTTTCATTTCCTTCACACTTTTATGATGATCTGTCCACTTCACCTACCTTTAGTATTACGTAAATTTTAAGATTCGACCTTATTTATTTATTGAATTGTCCACATATTCTTATCGCCACCTGCATCAACCTTATTATCAATATTTTGTTATCATTATAATCGTCGCTATTGATTTCTTTCAAAGCATTTACCACATTATTATTATTATCAATATTTAATCCACCAAATCACCGTCATGGTTTAAAAATTTTATATATAAATCTATGTAAATTAGAGTAAAGCCTGAAGAAGATCTAGTCGAAAACAAAAATATTCTTCGCTTACATGTGTCTTGTTCTTATAATACGTTGTCAAACTAACAAAGAGAAGCTCAACTTAAACCAGTGGAAAAACTGGAGGTGAATTATACTCTTGTCTACGCCAAGTAAAATACTAAGTTGTGTCAACCTGGAGAGAATAAAAGGAGATGGGCTGGATGGAGAATTCCAACACCCCTGTGAAATATGCGTAGACTCAAGAAAGCCGAATCACATACCGATCAAGTTGCAACTCTACGCATCATCATCATCATCATCATGGAACAAAGCATAGAAATGCAGTCAAACCTGCCTCTACCTCAACTTCATCGACTTCGAAAAGGCCTTTGATAGTGTTGGTCGATAAATAGTTTGGAAAATACTTAAACAATACGCAGTGCAGTGTCCTAAGTCATTCTCATCAATCTCATTCAACAACTGGCTGTATGAAGATACCACGTTTCAGGTGATCTACAACGAAAAGTTCAAGGAGGCGTTTGAAGTGAAGGCAGGTGTAAGACAAGCTGGCTATATATTATCACCGATGATATTTTTATATGCAGTGGAATGAACTATGCATTACATTGTGGGAAGCAAGAAGATAGGAATACGTTGGACCGATAAGAAGACGCTAAAGATCTGGATTTTGTGGAGGATATATTTTTAATGTCAGACAAGCTCTAATACTTGCAGGCGAAAAATAACAAACTGACTGAAGAAACTGGAAGCGATGACATGACTGTAGGTGGACAAAGAGAAGACGAAGATAATGAAGATGACCAACCAACCAACCAACCAACAGCAACAACAACAACCAGCACTAATCAACTATGAGAGGGACAGATTTAACAGAGAGGTTACCTCTTCCGCCTATCTAGGAAGCATCGTTTCAATCACAGTCAGACGGCACGGATGAAGATGTCAAAGTCAGAATCGGAAAGGCAAGGTACGCCTTCATCAAGCTGAAACCAATTTGGAAATCTTCCGCACTGACTCACTCAGCCAGCCAGCCAGCCAGCATAAATAATATAAGATTAGTTTGGATTCTGTTCAACACAAATGTTAAGTCAGTCAGTCAGTTCTTCCAAATGGGTCAGAAACTTGCAATGTACGTTCGTCAAGAAAGTCATCGCCAACTAGTCACAGCCTTTTATTCAACAGCCACCACCTTCTCTGGCTGGCTCCATACTGAAGACCAAATGACCAGCCTGCTAAAAAGAATAAGCGACAAGAAACCCTGGCCGGCTGGCAACAAACCGACGAAGAACCGACTGCTCAACAAATAGGTATGGTTTGATTGTATGGAGGATTTAATCGTGAGCTGACATCAGTTAGAGAACCAGTGGAAAACCAGCTGGGAGTACTGGACAGCTGTTTCGTTCTAGTTTGGGACTCATTCAGCAGTACGCACCCACCGACAGGGTTCGAACCCAGGACCTTCTGGTTACAAGGCGAGCTTGTAGACCATTGAGCCACTGGGACCCAATACAATGGTCCTTGAATTCTAACTTCTGCCAATTCACGACATAGCGTGACCACTTCACAATGTCTTCTTCGATGAGTTACTGCCTCATCTTCGACCTGCTGTACCCTACTGGTCACGGCTTCCCACTAGAAACCAACACTTGAAAATAGATATGGGACAATGGAGATGGATACAGTGGGAATACGTTGAGGAGGCTACCGAATGAAATCACGCTCACTGCAGGCCATCGCTCGAGTGCATCCCGGATGGGAAACGACAACTTCGATGTGGGTTCCAAGGTGATAATTAGGAGATAGTGAGAGGAATAGGAGATCAGAGACTATGAGTAATCGTGGGCTCAGATAAAGAGGATAGCAGAAAATACAAGAAAGTGGAGATGTGTTGTTGAACCCACTTGTCCTGCTTCGAACCAAAGGAAAACATGATCATGGCATTTTACAAATGAATAAATATCTTAACGCGCAGTTTGATTGATCCTAAATGTCAAAGATAGACATCATCTACCCGCTCAAAATCAATCAGCTGAAGAGTCTTTCGTTACCTTATTGATTTCAAATTAGGCATCACTTCCAAATAAAATGAGCTAGACTCGAATAAATTCCATTGTTTATACTAGATTTTTCAGTGTTTCAGACTTGTAAACAAGGCGAGAATGAAATTAAACGATTTAAAAAAATAGCCTGTTGGTAAATTTAAACAGTTTTTTTTAAACTTAAGAATATTAATACTTACGTCTGATTTCAAGAAGAAGAGGCGACAGTGTTAATCAGAGTTTTCTACTGAACTGAATATTTATCCTTAATAGGCGAAGTTAAACTATAGCGTCCCAAGGGTGAGAACGCTCCAGTGACCTCAAACGCATTCTAGTCGTTGGCTTAGGACACTTGTCATTACTACAGCGCAAACGTGAATGCTATTCACCAAATAAGGAATAAATTTCACCCAGATCACGTTTTTAGTACTATTTTACAATATGGCTACTGTTAAGGTTACGGTTACGATTAGGGATAGATTTAGAGTTTTAATTTGTTTTATCATCCACATTTTCTCAGTAAGTAGTCGTCACTTCTCCTACTGGAAACCATAGTAATTCAATCGAGGGCTTTTAGGGAAGACTAAAAAGCAGGATAAGAGGGATAGACGGGTTAGAAAAAACTCACTTTAAGTCGCCTCGGTGAATACACATGTAGAGAAACTGGTCTAACTTAAAAACTTATACTCCCCACTATAACTGAGACGTATTTTCAGGCTATGTCAGAGAAAGATACCCTGCTTAATGTGGTTTCATGCATTTTATTGTAAACCAACGTCATTTTTGTGCAAAAACCACTTCCTTTTATGGTTGGTTAATTCAGAGTCACTCGTGAGTTCACATCCCTTGCGAAGCTGGTGTTTAACTTTGCCCATTAATACAAGTCAAAGACTGCGTCACTGTAGTATTATTGGTACGCTGCTAATCACCCAGGATACACTTTCTGTACATTAAAAATTTGATGTTATTCTACACATAAAATAATCTGGCAATTTCTGGTCATTTGTAAGTTTCCTGGGAGACAAAATCTGTCTGATGTGTCCTTTCAATACAGGAATAGTATACTGTCGTATACTGAAGCAAGGTGAGGGAACAGAAGCGCTCTTTCCAGCTTGCAGTCGGAAATTTAGAAAGAATACTGTGTATCTGTCGTAATCATACGCTAAAGATCTATGTCCCACCCATTTTGAGGTCTAGGAAGAATGCAGCTACCTAGACAATCTTCTTAGTATGTACTATTTCACCAAGTCACTTAGATGCGCCAAAAGAACTGGATGGATACCATTATTGGAGTACTCTTTGAAATTAAATCTTAGTATCTGGTAAGAAGTTTCGTCAGATCAGATTAGCTATTAAAGTCATGAAACTGCATGAAAGAATCCTCTGTCAAGCTGCTACTCAGCATATTTAGGGAAATAAGTCTCTTGCTAAAAATCACCATGACTTTAGGGTTGACTATCTTGATGGTAAGAGAAGAGTATACAAGTGTAGTTGATGCCAGTGTTCCTGTTGAACTCGACGTATGTAGAGTCAAAAACATCAATCAAAGACCCAATTTAGGACCTCCACAGGAATAAAGGACAAAGAATAATAATTAACAGAGTCTTCCTTACAGCAGATAAAGGTGAGAGACTGTGAAAAATTAAATAATCTTATATGATTTATGTGAATGAGATTAAACTCTGAAGTGGTTTCAATGAAAAAATAGATATGCTCTCCCTATACGAAAACGTATTAGTAGAAAGGGTATCTAATAGTTACTGAAGGTTATCATTACCATGAGTATATTCAAGCCTTTGGGTCACAACAGTCCTCATGACAAATCGAAAAGTGGCTTTATTTCATCAAAGTTTATTGAATTTAAAGAGTTAAACATCACTGCACGCTATGTCTTAACAACTGAAACAAGATGTATGGTAATATGTTCGCTTGTTAATACTTCTGTAAGCTGAATGAAGATATTTTTTGCATATTGTTTCTGAAGAATATTAGACCTCATGTGGGGTATGGCGTCCTAGCCACAAGTGTTCGTTTTAGTTGTGAAGCAGACACTTTAAAACAAACTCAAGAAATAACAAGTAAAAATGGTAGACAAACTTCCCAGCCTCTAACAAGGCAGTTAGACTGACATGACTTATTCCTCCTGTTATATCATTGGTCAAGACAAAAATCCCTATCAGTAACCTGCAGATTACGTAATGATTTTGTTTACTGCTTTCTTTCAGAACCGATCAACCATGAGAACACTACTATGGAGTTCAAGGACAATGACTAAATTGCCTTTATCCAGGAGCCTGTTTTCTGGAGTCAGATTGCAAGCTAGTGAAATCTTCCTACGCAAAAGGTAGACTTAACATCCTATATATAGTATTAATTTTCTCCAAGAAACAAAATACGAGTGACAGTTTGCATCCAAAGATTCCAATCAAGTAGCAACAACTATATTTTTCAAAGCATTTTCTAGTAGCATTTGTAAAGCACCTATCAATCAGGATAAAAAGCATGGAAACGGCAAATGCTTTGTGATAAATAACATATTCATTATCTATCATCGTTTCTAAGAGCTAGTGTAAACCATTTTGTAAGGTAAAGATTCCTGGTCTTTGTTAAACTTTTGCGTAGTTCGTCCCACCACCCAACTGCAGTAGCTTTAGTTGACTCCAAAAGGAGTGGTTCTGGGATTACTTATGTTTTTTGCAGTATGTGGTGTATTAAGACCATGTTGCTATTGCAAATGGAGTAGATCCTTTCGCCAGTTAGTCAACAGGTTTCGTCGAGAGAAGAAAAGAGGTAGTAATAATAATAATAACAGGTAAAATTAGTTAAAGTTATGCAGACGAAAAAAAGAAATGATGAAAACGTACAAACAGACAGCTAATGATATTTGAAGCTGATATACATATATAATGGTTGAAATTGTAAAATATTTGTTACATTCTGGTCATTTAGCTAAAATCCTCTCACTTCTTTTTTTACTGATGGCTGTGTCTATTATTCACCCGTTTTTACAATTATTGACCAACTGGATAAAACAAGTTTCCTAATCCAACAGCGGTTTCAAAGTTTAAATATCAATTCCAAAATGTGGCAAACGCTACAAATGAGCATCTGCTAAATGGATTCTTAATACTGTAGTAAAAAGAAATGCAGTTCCTACACCTGTAGGAACACCCGATACTCAACTAACAGTTGAGCAGAATCTAAACAATAAAACGTACAACAAAACTATTATTTATTTTTGATTAGCTATCTCATGAGACTTAAAAAAGCCTTTTATTACTAAAATTAAGCTGGGTAGATATAGGCATATTATCACAACCAAAACATGTTTCAGGTTCATCCTTCTTTACAATCTCAATTCATTCAAGCGATAGGAAATCACATAAAAAGAATCGGTTAAAAAAATTCCACGAATAATTTTCACCTTATTTAAAATATATCTGACAAGTCCGACCTTGAAAACCATAGAAACACAAATTGTCAAATTTTCATTTACTAGTTTAAACAAAACGCCTCAGCACATAAATATGGTTAGATATTGGAATATATATTGCTCCATGAAGCAGTGATCACTTTTCGTGCTAATCCATATATTTATCGTTCGATAGTATGTGACTAAATACCAGTTGCCGACAACACATTCAGTCTAAGACATAATTTTGATACAAATATTCACTGGTGCACGTACTTATATTGTCGACGATAAAAAATTTGAAGTGCGACGGATCTCAGTAATTAATTTCTGAAAAAGTGACCACACCGACTGTCTTTTAAAATCCGGGTCAGAAAAGTAACTGTCCCTTACCAGCACCTACTTCACCCCAAGACTGTTGACGTCAAATTACTGGTGGAAGCAAATCGAATACCTAGCTTTCAGTTGTCAAAGGTAAGTGTCAATGAAAGTTTGTTTTACTTTTTGGAACGCCTACATGTATAGCAGTCATGTACTAGTCTGTGCGTGTGTGCCTGAGAACAAACGGACGTTGAATATGCGAAACTAACCAGCCATTAAGGGTTCACCTTTTTATTTGAATGCTAAGCTTTGTTCTGAATGAAGAGAACCACACAATTGTTTGAAAACGACAATAATACTAATCCACTTGCAGTTTCGCAGCGGGTATCACCAAGAAAAGATGGTTTAATTAAGCAAGTGAAATTGAAGATTGGAGAAGGGCTGCTGGTTGAGGATCCAAGGAGGTAATCTTGGCAAGTTTTGAATGATAAGTCCCAGAAACCTAGTGTCTTGGCGTACTGTTTTCAGGTGTGCATTTCTAAGGAGGAAGCCACATTATATGGTCGCCAGGCATACTCTTTAAGTGCAGGTAGGCTGTCAAACGCTACAAGAATTCGGCGTAAATCTGGTTTAATTTTTTGTGTACATAATGATTCATTTGTCATATTTTGATTTGACACTAGTAACTGGTGTGATGCGTCTAGTCCTCTGATTGGTGTAGACTGAATTCTATCAGTTAGGTTGTTGCGTGACCGCCATTCTAGCTGGCTCGCCATCATGGTGCACATTGATTTGATGGTATTAGATGGTTGGAGGCAATCGGCAGGAAGCCTTGGACCTAGGTTTCGTGCTAGTTGGCACCCGTCATCAAGGCGTATCTGCAGCTCACATGTTCTTCTTTCTCTCCTGGAAACCCTTGAATCAGGAAAATAAGAAGTAAAACAATAGGAACAACAACAAAATCCCAACAGCGGGAGTAGCGACCACAACAATAAAAACCGTATCAACAATGTCACTGTTAAATGCAGTTACCAAAAGACACGTAAATCAAAGACTCACTGACTTTGGTCAACTTAGGCATGCAAATCCAGTAATATGTACAATTATAGATAGTAGTTATCATCAAGCAGTCACAAAATGGCTAACAGTCAGTTAAAGGTATTAGTGGTCAACAAGATTATATCCACAAAGTCAATATTCGAAGGTAAATCAATTACAATAAATTCCAAAGCTTCCTGGCCATAAACACGAGTCGCATCACCACCAATGCACCGAGTGCTAACGAATTTTCAGAACAAATGTGAAGGAACTGCCTGACGCATTTCACCTAGTGTGGCTGACGTGGTGTTCGTCTATCCACCACACGACATGTCTTCTCTGCAGGTAGCTTACATTCAATCTATCTCGTTAGATAGGGCAGTGTGGTTAGAAGAAATGAGGTTATGCATACAGTGCTAGGTAGGAATGAACAATAAACCGACAACTTGTGGTTATTAAGACCGCGACGGCGAAAATTTGTCTCACAAGCCGAGTGACCCGCCTTTACGGAGAAGGCTAGTTTGAAAAATTCTGAGAGGTGAGGGCAAAGCGAGCTCTCAGTCCTCGAAGTATGTGTTCTGATTTGAGCTATTTGAAAAAATTTAAACTGTTTGGGGCCTACCTTAGGCATGGTAGGAATCAGTGGTTGGCAACTAGCGACAACATGACGGAAAATATTTCCTAGCTGCGTTGATGTATTCGCTTCATGTAGTTTCTCGGATTTCCAAAATCTCCAATATTCTTTATTTGACTGTTTCTTCTCCCTTAAGGCTTATTTTATTGAGGTTTCAATGCTCTTTCTTTACTCTACTTTATATGTAGCTGAACCCATATGCATTCTGGCTACGTTCTACATTAATCAGTCACCTCAGAGCGAGTTTCTTTTGGATCCGTCTTCATTTTTCATAAGGCTGTAGAGACTGGATAAACTTCTGATTCAATACACTTGCTCACACCTAGAGAGGCTTCTGTGAGCTAGTACCAGTTACATCAGCTTTAAAGCGCTGATGGCGAAGCATAAATTCAGAAGTCTAAATTGTTTTGAAGCGATCTCTCAAGAAAGAGGCACCTGACAAATAAAATAGTTAAAATATTTTTGGGTAAGCTATATTACTCAAACTGGCCGGCAGCTGCAGAGCAAAAAACTCTGAGACGGTGGGCGATAAGCAACATGGAGGAACCACACAAACAGTTCGTGCACCCGCTTCGACGCATACTGGTCAGTTTAAATTCTAGCATCTCGCTCTTTCTATAAGGCTCCTAAGCTCATCAAGCTACTAATTGAACAGTAATAAGGGCTGTATTCCAAATGTCTTGCTCTCAAATTATTTACCTACTTCAAATGGTGAAATGGTCTATGATCTTTCGCTCGTCCTACCTGCAGAGATTGCTGGTGATGCCGATTACTTTCCTAACTATGAAATAGGTTCTACAAAGCATGTATCAGTGTCTCATGCCATGTTGTCATTGTCACATAGGTGATTGCTGTTTCGTCAAATTCTCGGGTCGAAAGAGGACAACATCATGTGCAGCAGACGCACAACTATCTTCAAAAATAAAAATAATAAGCATTTCATATTGAATGAATATGCACAAGAGTCTTTTCCAACTACCAAAGTGTTAATCTTCCCTCTGCCAGCACTACCAGTCTACACATACACAACGAGGTTTGAATCATGTAAAGATATTCAGTGTTTTTTTTAAATATGAGGGCCTTATCAACTCTAGAAATAATATTGTCAGCCAACCCACAGAAACTGTCACTGTCCAACTCTTACTACGCTGGATCTCACGCTGTCCCTGGAAGACTTTCAGAAACAATTTGTATTAACCAACGCGAAAAAACAGAACACAGATTGATGACTCGAGAATCCTTTATTCTTACGCAAATATATAACCAACAACAAGGTTATCATACACAAGGTCTAAGAATAAATGTTATAACAATAAATCACGATAATACTTCTGATAGTTTTCTGTCTTCCACTGAATGGCGAACGACGAGACGATGACTGCCCGATTGTTGGCTCCGGCGAAAAATATGGAGGAGTTGAGTTTGAGCAAACAACCATGAATTGATCGTTCATGATCGTTCAACTCATAACAACTTTACTTGCTGCTCATTATACTTCAGTAAACCTAACATTTTATAGCTCTTAATTAATTCGATTCGACTTATTCTATTCCTATTCCCTGTAGGTTGCTCTTGTGCACCAAATACACAAAATGCTATGAATTTAAAACAGCCGGCTTGGACATCATGATTGTAAGACCTATATGAGTAGCATTAATAATAATTATTATAATTATAATGATTTTATTTTCATATAAACATAAATTTACATGAAAATGCATGCCATTTTTACAGGCACGATCAAGTATGATATAATATCAAATCGTAGATTGTCTACAAGTTAATAATGTTTCAACAGTTAAATATTTGATATATATATATAAATCCACATTGTCTGAACTAGGCTGTATAGTTATTGAATTGTACAATTGTCCTCCAGGTTGAGCGGGAAAATCGACTTCGTTTCGTTTTCAACCCATGGTTGTAGGCATACGATAGCCAACCAATATTGAGGTAAGTACAACGTTTACAAGGGATTGGTAGCTGTTTTTTAGAAAAGTAAAAGTGCTAAGGTGAATCACTAAAGTGTAATAGATTAAGTGAGTGAAATATATCATTAATAAACACATTTATGTAGAAAACAGAATGGGGAAGTAATTAATCCTTAGGCCGACAACGTTCATTTGCAATGTATAATAAAACCAATATATTTTGTACTATCATGATGTCCACTTTTGGTTTTAATACATTTTTTCCTTATGCCGGTTTTTTTATTTTATGCCTTTTTGTGCATTTGGTGCGCAACCGTACCCTACAGAGAATAGGAATAGAATAAGTCGAATCAAACTCATAAAGAGCTATAAAATGTTAGGTTTAATGGAATATAATGAGGATCAAGTAAAGACGTTATTAGAAAATAAGTGAGACAAGATATTGTGAAGTGGTATTTAGAGATCTGACGATGGATAGCAAGTTAATTTATAAGATGCCCCATAAATCTGTGCAGATCCCGCGTGGTCGCATCTCAACAATAGGCTGAGCGAATGGTATATATTTAAAGGTAGAAGCATGATCTGTTTAGGCGTTCATTATTATCTTTTTCAAGATAAAGATCTAAGCCCTCATAAAAATTATGAAAATTTCGAGCCTTCAAATTGCGTATTCCTGTTCCTGCAGAATGGGGCGATTCACCTTAGTGACCCCCACCATATCTACTGATCAGCTAACGCCACCCTCCCTCCTTTTTTGATGTTAAGCTCTGAGACTATGATTATTATGGCTACCGCAAATATATTGCTTGGTACCAGACATGTTCGTACCCCATATTCCATCTCCCTAGCTTTTTTAATGAGTGCTTCCAATAGGTCTCCACGTACATCTTTACGAACATATTATATATGTGTGCATGCATCCTAATGAACAGATTACTTTATAAGAAGTCAAAAACTTAAAGAGTAAAACGAATAGGTATTGTGAATAGTGGAACAAGATTTAGCAGAACACTATAGTTAAGGTTCAATTTAGGTAGTATGGACTGAAGGTAAGGTCGGTTGGCAGGACTTAGAGTACTTATATATAGTAAACATCTGACATTGCAA